GGTAGCCTTCCGACTGCTTCCCTCCCAAGTCTAACCCGTCGCCTAATCTCTTGGATGATCCACCATCTGCTTGTATGCAATTTAACTTAAAAAATATGTAAACTTATTCACTTTTTGGTAGTCTATTCGCCTACTAAAGGTTAAATACGGATTACGGACCATGTCATTTGTGTAACACCTATATATAAAAATTTTATATATAAGTAATGAATTTATTGAAATTCTGATTTTTTGCAATTTTGTAATATACTAGTACATAATTATTGTGTATTAATAATGTAATACTTTACCTTTATTATATATACTAAGYATAGGTAAAGGTTTTATTATTTTTCTTATGAGATTTTTAAATATTTTAAATAAATATTATTTCAATTCTATAATAGGTAATAGTTTTCCACTTTTTTTCAGATCAGTGTCAGCATAATCGAAACAATCAGTGTGGTGGGTTTTATTTGTGTGAGCGTTTGGCATCAATATCTCAACAATTTTTTTGGCGAATTTATCATACAAAAAGTATGGACTATAAAGCTACTTAGCTACCTGCATAATAAAATGTAATTTTATATACCTATTTTTATTTATTTTATGGATATGTTCAGCAATCAAGTGTTAGCACGGTATTATATAACGTTCCTTGGTGGCGATGCAACAAAAGGGTACGACAATTACTGACGTTAATGATTTTGAGATCCAATAAACCAACTTTTATTAYAGGATTTTATATGTACAAGTTAAGTTACGAGTCGTTCATTTCGGTAAGATTATTTTTATTTTATATTATTTTGCCTGGTCTTGAAAACACATCGACATTATATTAWGTTAATCTATTCTATACTATAATAATAATATGTAGAACACTGTATATGTTCATTGTTCATCATTATCTGGCTATAACTTTTTATGTAATAATTTTCAGTTCGTAAAAGCATTATACACTTACTATATGGTATTAAGAAAAGTCAACGTCAAAGACAAAACTGCATGAGATCAGATTTGAATAAGTCGTTAAAATATAGTAAAAAGGTATTATGATTTTGAAAAAGTAACATTTGTAACAACTTATAACCATATGATATTTTTATTGCATAATTATTGTATGCTATTTATAATATTATTATTAATATTATCTTATTCATTYAAACATTAAAGTTTAAATTTTAGTCAAGAAATTAATTATTATTTTCAGAACCTAATTATTGTCCTAATCGCATTTTTGTTGGGTTTAAAATAGTAAAAGTTCAATAAATCAAGTTTTCTTTCTTTGATGACTGCCTAAACTTACCTATTTCATCAATAATTTCATCCATACATATATAGTTATAACTTTTGTTATGTTTTAAATTTAAACACATTTAATGGAATAACTTAATAGTTAGTAACGCCAGCGCCCAGTATATCACAAGGCGTCAAGGCATATATATATAGGTAAGTCAAAAAACCGACCAAGATTAAAATAGAAGCCAATAGGTACTACAATAGGTTGTATATATATACTGTGTTAAACATAAATATATCTATAAGGTTTATATGTAAATAATATGTAATACAATTAATAATAATTAGATAATGTTTCGCCAAACAAAAACAAACTCGTTTGTGCCGTGACGTCCGACTGTGGCAGTATTTTCCTACCCTCTGTAAAAAAGTTTCACTTAAAAAGAAAAGCTGGTAAGTGGATATCGCTCTGTTAWACAGGAAGTCAGGAAGTAAGTAGGTAAGTAGGTTACAAGTGGGTTACTGTAATGGATGGTATTAAATTTTAATTAAATGATATAATATATCATATGATACGAAAAACGATTATGAGCGGAGACGGTTTGTCTGTCTACTGTCTAGGATATTTACCTATAGGCTATAAAATAAATTCCAAATTAATCCAATCAAATTCATTATGCACACGACTCACTCGGTCATTCATAGTAGATATATACAATTTGAAGTATTCACAAATAATATTTTTAAATTCAATAATATAGCTAAAATTGTTATTTTTGGTTATTTAATTGGTAATTTCATCCAAATTTAAACTTAAAATAACTTTAAAGAAAAAACCCGTGTTATTTGTAGGTATGGTTTTTATATTTTTTCTGCCACAGAATTAAATACTTACATGGAACTTTGTTTTTTAATTTCAATTCTTAGCTATAAAATTTAAATGTCTTATACATTTTTAATAATATATTTTGTCAAAATTTGATCTTTAAATGGTTATAAAAAAAAATGTGCCTATACATGTATTTTTAATATTTTCCAATTGCTATTACATCAACTTACGGGGGAATCTTGTATTCAATTTTTTTCACCCAATGAATAAAATTTTATTTGAAATTTGTAGAATAAAAAAAAAGCTGGTTAGTCGTGGATGTCGCTCTGCTGTTCAGTAGGTTACAAGTGGGTTACTGTATTGGATGGAATTAAATTTGAATCCAATGATATGTTATATCATTGTATACAAAAAACGATTCTGAGCGGAGACAGTTTATCTGTCTAGGATTATATATTATTATAGGTACATAGATTAGTTCGTGGCTTCGTGTATAATATATTAAAATTTAAAATTTAGTTTATGTTATATTAATTATTATAAAGTCCATATGGTATTGTCTCTTACAGACCTGCCAATAGTTTGACTACAACTTAACTATGCATCTACACCTATATGGTTATATGATGTAACATATATCATTTAAGACGAAAACTAAATTAAAACAAATCGTGTAGTGATGCCTTAAAAAAAGTATAACCTTGATAACTTGTACTTTGTAGTAATTCGTAGTATAATACTCAAATATTGTGCCAACGCTATGTGATTAAATTGGATATTAAAACAACTATTATAAATTATACATATATATATATATATAACTTTTATGACATTTGAACATCTGACAATATAAATTATTCTAAAGGGTATTCCAGTATTTAGTGTTTATTAATATAATTAATTAATAAATATCAGTTATTTTAATACTATACAATGTTTTTATTTAATATATGCATACTATAATATAGTAATTAGTAACAAATGCAAATCTAATTATAACAAAAGATCTACGGATCTACGAATAAGGGACTTTGTATTTTTCTACTAGTTTTTAAATGGATTTATTGTTGATGCTCAGACATTAATAAGTAATTTAATTTTCGTGTACCGAGTACCCATAAGAACCACAATTTTAACCTAATATTCACACATTCAGTGCAGTAACGAATATTATTTTTTTTCAATTAGCTTTTATTTATAATTATAACTCAACAATCACATTACCTACATTAAAATACATAACAATACAATACAAAGAACAAAAAACATATCATTATAGTTATTTATTAGTAATTATCATTTGTCAATATAAATTGTCATCACTCATTTGTTACTTATCAGTTTTTATTTTATTCTTATTTTATTACCTATCTTCGTCCTTGTTTACCTTAGATCATATACTAGTATAGTAGTATATAACTATATAAGTTGTTTACCAAATGTCTAACTTATACCTTATATTTCATAAGACCTATGTATTATATTTGATATTTACTTAAAGGGTATTTATCCGTTTTATAAATAAAAAAATAAAAACAAATGTAAGTTTAATCATAAAAACATTATTTTAATATTAAATAACAGATTAGATATTTAGTTGAATACACAGGTGGTTTTTACACAACAAATAACATATGCAACCATGTCAAATTGTAGTCCAAATTTTCATATGCTTACAGTTCAAACAATTTAATTGATTAGCATCGGAACATCGTTTAATGACTGGACAGCTACCGCAAGGCAAATAACTCACAGCATTTCTGCTCAATAAAGTTTTAGTGGATCGGTATTCTATTTTTCCTTCGGAGTTAACTCGCTTTGCAGCCAAACCATCATAAACTAATAGGTCGAGAATTGATATTATGTCCTCCACGGTGAGCCTCACTTTGCTGACACCAGTTTTCGATATGAACTCCAATACCCGGTCTGCAGTTGCGTACGACGTATTATACTTGACTAAAGGGCTGCGTATAGTGGTGTTCTTTAGGGCTTTTGACTTTTTCGCTTCCAAGAACTTGTAGCTCTGCTTGGTGAGTATCTCAATGAATTCTGACTCAAATTCTTGATTGGAATACCACGCACCGCCTGTAATGGAGCTGTCCGGTTCCAGGTCGAACAACATGTACACGATTTTTCTGGCAGCTGCCACAGACTTGACGGCCTTGATGGCTTTTTTCGTCTCCAGCGACTTGAGGATCTTCTTGAGTCGTGGCAGCCCCAGATTGGACTTGATACGCACGTCCCGGATCCATATACCCTTTCTACCCGAATCGCGTATCAGATTGAACACGACTAGTTCCTCGGTGTTGGCGTCCCCAGGGGTTGACGCTGTCGGCCCTTTATACTTGTACCTAAGCGTGTCTTTTACCTTGTGCAGCGTGATCGCATTGGACGTGATCAGCTTGTTAACCACGTCTACGCGTTCCTCGATCGTCAGTACGGGACAGGCCCGAATGAGATCTTCGTCGGATACACCTTTGTTGCCGGAACACTTAATGATCTCGAGAACGCGCTGCTCGGCAGTTTCCGGCTCCCGGGCTTTCTTTGCCACAGGAGCGACATCGGCCAGATCATCCTTGTGGCCACGTTTAACGGCGACCGACATCAAAGAAGCGAGACGGAAACGGAAAAAAACGTGTTGATATTAATATGTTGAAAGCAATTTAATTTAAATGTTGTTGTTTCCTTGTGATAACTACTGATAAGCTCAATTTGGAATATCTAATAATCTTGTTATGATAAAATACCAGTGCCACCACAGAATAGGTGAAATTATTTTAATTAAAATTTCACCTATTCTGTGGTGCCACTACCAATTATAAGATATTTGACAATGTTACCAACGAATATCAACAATAACAACTTGTGTTGATAAGATAATGTTGAGGTTATGTTCCACTGAGAATAATTTTGAAAATCATTCAAAATAAAATATATATGTCATATGATATTATAGGTATTTGTAATATTTGTTGATGGTTTATTGTTGTTTAAAGTAATTTAATTTATTTGTAATTATTAAATTCATCAAACAATCTAGAAATGTCTCGTGGAACTAGTGCTGGTTTTGACAGACACATAACTATATTTTCTCCTGAAGGAAGACTTTATCAAGTTGGTAAGTCAAAAGTATCAATGAATATAATTTATTAAATAAACAAATTTTGTATGATACATCAAGCTAATGATTTTTATGACTTCTTTTAGAATATGCCATCAAAGCAATATTACAAGGTGGACTTACATCAGTGGCAATTAAAGGAGTTGACGTTGCAGTAGTAGCTACTCAGCGAAAAGTTCCGGTTAGTGTTTACTGCTATTAATTAAATATAATAATAAATGCTAAAAAAACTAAAAGAATCATTTAAGATGTGTCTTTAAAAGTCTAAAAATAATTGTTATAAWATAGTGTTTTATTATGCCAAAGTTTTTTGGTCGCATTAACTCTTTAAGTGCTGGACACATAACCGTAAATACAAACCTGGCTTAATGTTTTAATATCATTTAAATTGCTTAAAATATATTGGCTGATAATAATTCTTCATAACTACTTTCAATAAGTGAAATATTTTTTGCTTTATTTTTACTTCATGATAAAATTTTTTTAATTGCTAATACCTTAAATACAATAAGTACTAATTATATAGTGACTGATGGACATAAACATATAAGTTAATAATTATAAATACTAATGGCCTAGTAGTCGACGTTTTTGTGTTTAATGAAAAAAAAATTTATAATTGTTATTTTAAATAACATATTCTAGCTATTTAAATCTTAATTTCTTCGATCTGCATTAAATTATGTGTACATATCCACAATTTTAATTTATATCTTAGAAATGCTAGGATTTTTAGAACTACATTTRTATACTAATATCATAAATATTAAGTACTAAATTCACTAGTTTTATTAAAATATATGTTGTAAAATGTTCACATATTATTTTTAAGTTTTATACTAACATCTAAAAATTTCTTAACCTATATTTTATTAATTTATTTTTTTCAGGATAAATTAATTGATCCTACAACTGTGACTCATTTATTCCGGATYACAAAAAACATTGGATGTGTTATGACTGGAATGACAGGTAAATGAGTGTTTCAATTGTTATATTATATACTTAATATAACAATTGAAATTAATTCTAATCTTATACATTAACCTATATGATTTAAATATGATGAAAAAGTTATATTTTTTTTAGCTGATGGTCATTCTCAAGTGTATAGAGCTAGAGCTGAAGCATGTGAATATAAATACAAAAATGGTTTTGAAATGCCTGTGGAAACATTGTGTAGTCGTATGGCTGATATTTCTCAAGTATACACACAAAATGCTGAAATGAGACCACTTGGATGCAGTAAGTATAACATTTATAATATATATTAAACTTATGAAAATACTATAAACTACTTAAATTATGTTTTTCATTTTTAGGTATGATATTAATTGGAACTGATGACAGAAAAGGACCTATGGTGTACAAGACAGATCCAGCTGGATATTATTGTTCATTCCATGCTATTGCGGTTGGAACAAAACAAACAGAAGCCAATACTTATTTAGAAAAAAAATTGAAAAAAAAGAAGGAATACTCAAAAGATGAAGCTATTGAAGTATTTTTTTTTTTTAATTATTTGCTATGTTATTTTGTACATTTTTTTACATTTGTTTAACAGCTTTTCAAAAAAAAAATATTTTTTAGTTGGCCATATCGTGTTTGTCAAGCGTTCTAGCGGTTGATTTTAAACCTAGTGATATTGAAGTTGGTATTGTAACAACAGAGAACAAGGAATTTGAGTAAGTTTAATCTTAGTTTTAAAAATATGTGTATTTAATACCAGTAGTAACCTGCTAACTAGTATTGACACTACTTAAGCGATTCATAAGTATTATAAGTATGACTTCTAAAATGCTTATAATTTATAAGTCATAACTCACTAAAAATATTAAAATTATTGTTAAAACCAATCAGACAGTATAGATAACATTTTTCATATTTAAGTTTGTTTGACTCAAAAATATTAACTACCACTGAACTAGCCAAAACAATGTTTCCACCAAAATTTAAGCACTCATAAAGGTCGCCAAACACTTGCAGCGATAGTGGTGGCGGTGGSGGTTATGGCAAAATGATGCCGGACTCAATTTTACTGCCACCACTGCAGTGTGTGGCGACCTTTATTTTAATATCACACATGTCCTCCCTCACCCTCCCAAAAAACCCACCACGCAGACTAAAGCGAAAATGGTGTAGAGACCTATTAAATTAGTAAAGGAGATGTTACCATTGGGTTTCTTCCTCATCACATCATACATGCTACTTTATTCTGTTTTTATCTTATTTGCTTATTGTAATTATTGTGTATAGATTGTAAATTGTCTTTCTTAATRATAATRAAAAAAAAAGTTAACAGGTAAATTATCTCTAATATCTAAGTTAACTCTATGATGTTCATTGTTGAACATACATTTTGGTATGTTATATAATAGTTAAGTAAGAGTAAATGCAATAAATCATACATGTGGGCATAAAATATTCTTAAGAGGATTTTGCACTAGCATATGTTGTCTGTTTTACACTTGTACGACGTACCAAATTTCTGTCCACCAGTTTCAAAAGTGTGTTGTTAATTAACTTAGATGTTTTGTGGAGTGAATGGCATATTATAAAACTTAATTGTAAAATACCTAAGGTGGCCCCCCTGATAGGCTTTTATTGTTATTATTTTTTAGTAAGTTATGATAATTTTAAAACGTACAATTTCAAAAAGGTCATAACTCATAACCTATTTAAAAATATCAATAAAAGTCTTGTGTAGCCCTAGATATCAATTTTAACTTCCAATATCAAAACTAAAACCACACTACTGAAACTGGTGAGCAAAAATTTGGTATGTTGTATGCGTGTTAGACAAAGACAACACTTGCGAATGTCATGTCCCATTAATTATGTTGAGCAAAGACAAATAACTAAGTAATTCATAAGAAAATATGGAATAATTTTTGGAGGGATAGACTCCCTTCAGCTACTCTCCTTCTGATCAATTAAAATGATATGGAGTATACATTTTAATAAGTTTTTTTTTGTTCTTTAACACAGRGTCTTAAGCGAACAAGAAATTGACCGTCATTTAACGCAAATTGCTCAAAGAGATTAAGCAAGTACACTAAAATGAAGAATAAATCTAAAGGTATAATAATATTGTATTATTTGTCATGTAATACTTAAAAAAAAAACAATAAACAATAAAAATAATAATTCATAATTTTGTATGGTGAATGTTTTTCTTTCCAATAGATTAATGTATTTTTTATTCAATCAAAATACAATATGTACTTATAATTTTAAACATTTTTTTTACATAATATATTATATTATAACACACATATATTATATACACACAACATATTTTAATATATTTTTATTTGCTGGCTTTATATTACCAACCAAAAAATGTTCTAGTGTATTTATAATATTCATCTATGATTGTTTGTATGTTTAATTCTAAAAACCTAAAACTATTAAAATAAAAACTTTTAAGTAACCCACTACTTACAGTTTATAGTTTTTAATTTTTGAGTAAAAGTATATCAAGATGGCTTCCGAAATAGACTCAGAAAGCAACATAGATAGGTCTAGTACTCGTTCTGGGATGAGTCGTCAATCATCAATGTTTGGAAATCAACTTGAAAAAGTTGTCTGCGTTGCAAATGATGATTCAATTAACATTGAATTTGTATACTATACAGCAATGTTAAAGAAGTTTGCACCCAACTTGAGCAAAGAAAAGGATAAGGAGAAGGTAATACCTTGGATCAGGAAACTATATGCAGCAGAGTATGCAACAGAGTTCTTTAAAATAAAGCGTAACAGATATCTTTTTAACATGATATTATCTATTCTCAATGATGAAATGTACGGTGTATTTAAGTCAATACCCCCTATTGGTCCATTAAAATCACCGGAAAGTTTTACTGTACCTGCCATTCCATTGGCAATGTGGGAAGTCGATAATATGTGGGAAGAAATGTTAAGAGACGAAGATATTAATCCTTCCATTTGTAGCATTCACGACAAATGTCCCGAGGAGGAAGAAGAAGAAGAGGGTGATGATCCTGAGGTAGTAATAGATACAAYAAATATGTCTCTAGAAGATAGGGATCAATTGACTGAAGATGCAAATGGCAAAAAGGACAGTCCAAAGATGAATAAAAATAAAAAAGCTTTACTAAGTTCATTACTTGATTGGGAATTTCAATATCTCCTTCATATTGCTCGACCTTATGCTGCCCTAATGACTACTGTTCAAGACAAGACCAGAGTAGCAAAATGGTTACAGAAATTGTGCGGTGTACGTATGGATATTGCATGTTCACAAATGAAAGGAGTACGGAACGACTACATGATGGCACTACTGGGCTACCTATATGATTTGAGACTCACTGGACCGTTTGAACACCCGCCACCTGACGGACCACTGGAAAATTTAGGAAACACCATGGAACAGTTAAAAGCTGATTATCCGATAACAGTACCCACTCAGTTTGATGTTAATGAGTTTTTGTCTGACCAACCAACACCAGCTGAGGGAGGTGCCTTTTGTTACATTGCCATAAGTGGTGATTTACAAGCAACAAATTTAATAAAATCAAAACCAGTACAAACAAAAGACTGTCAAAAATAACAAGACAAGTGTGATATAAATAATTCCAATATAATATACATATTATATTGAATAAACAATGCTAATTGAAATAGTGACTTTTATTAATAATGCTTTATAATATATAAATACATTTTAGTAAATCTAGATACTATGACCATTATATCTATCAAGTGCAAAATCCAATGTCTTTTGAGATATCTAAATATCTTATATACTATATTTATTATAAACATGTATTGTTTGGCTTAGAGGCAATCAATTCATATTTTTATAATATTACATTGAGTCCTAGTTGGTATGTTTGAGTGTGTGCTATTTCTATTCTGACCATACTTCCCTCACAGTATATTTCCTGCATGTGGCAAAATGCAAATTATTTTATTTTTATTAGCATGTGTGAAAATTAGCTAAGACAAATGTTATGATGCCCACAGTATATTATGCACAATTGAAGTGAGTGGCAATCAGGTACATTGTCACAATGATTAAAATACAATATTAAAAAATAATAAAACTTACCTATTTTTTTTATATTTTATTTTTAAACAAATGAATTTAACAAGAAAACAATAACACAGATTTTAATATTAAACATGTATGGAATTTATTTATTGGTCCTACGATTTTAATTTCAATTAAATTTGAATAGGCCAAATTACACCTAAATATTTAAACAAATTTTATTTGTTAMATTAATGTAATAGATTTAAATAAGGTTTAAACACCTAATAACTTTTTAGCAGCATCGACTATATTGATTACTTGTGGCAATGCAGCAATTTCTAACGATTTGGTATAAGGCATTGGTACATCTGCACCAGTCACTCTTATAACGGGTGCATCTAAGTGATAGAAAGCCTCACCTGAAATTAAAATCAATATTTTGTTCAGATAAATATAAACATGATAATAGTGGTTTTATATCTTACTTTCCATAATTTGAGCAGATATCTCTGATCCAATACCGGCATATGGCCATCCTTGTTCAATAGACATAATATGATTTGTTCGAACTACTGATTGTATAATTGTATTAATATCGAGTGGTCTTAACGATCGTAAATTTATAACTTCTGCCTCAATTCCAACTGAAGATAATTCTTTTGCTGCATCCAAAGCTAATTCAACTCCTTTGGAGTGCGCCACAAATGTAATATGGTCACCTTTCAATAAAAATTAACAAATAAAGCTATTATTTATTCTAAACAAAAACAAAATGCTTTAAGTCTTACCCTTTCTTTCAATCTTTGCTTTTCCAATAGGTAGTACAAAATCTTTGTCTAATACTTCATCTGTGATTGGATATTGATTACCATATAATAATTCATTCTCTAAGAACACAACTGGATCTGGATCTCGGATTGCTGCCTTTAACAATCCTCTAGCATCCTCAGAATTGTATGGAGAAATAACCTATAGTTAAAAATGACATCTATTATAAATTGTAATAACTAATAATATATATATATTTATAATTAATACTATATGTCTATATATATATAAGGTGTAACAGGACTATTTAACAAATTTCCATTAAAAATACTACTATATTTGTCAAATAGTACTGTTACACCCTGTATATATAAATATGTCCAGTTTCATATAATGTTGAATAAAGCATTATCTAGGCATACAAGTATAATAATAATATATTTATTTACTTTTAAACCTGGACATTGACTGTACCAAGCTCCAAAACATTGAGAATGTTGAGCAGCCACACCAGCTGCTGCTCCATTTGGTCCTCTAAATACAATTGGTACATTTACCTAAAATATCATTAATTTTTTCAAATCAAAATAGACTAATTTAAATTAGGATGTACTACCTTAAGAGGGTATCAAACAACTTTAGTTTTTCTCTTTCTGAACACACATTCAACTTAGACAAGATACATTTATGTCAAATCATTTTTAATGTTTTTGAGTTATTTTAATGTAAATTAACATATATTATAGAGACTAATACTTTGAAGGTTTGGATCAATCAATTCAATACTTTATTTATTGTTTAGTTTAACATAAAAATAAAAATTCTAAATTTAAATGGTAATTGGAAAAAAAGTACCTGAAAAAAAAGTTAAATAAACATTTGCCCAAATACTTATTACTAGGGAACGGATTTGAATGCAAATTGCATTTTTTTCTGAATGTCCGAAAACATTAGTTACCACGCAAAAAATTCATTTCATACATCAAGGAATTAAAAAATGTAACTTTTATTTTCAATTTTTTGCATTTTTAAGACTTTATTGCATTTTTTGATATTTTTATGGTTTTTAAGACATTTTTTCAACATTCATTCTAAAAAAAATAAAAATACCTAAATATATATTATGTTACGAAATTACACTATGAAACAAAAGGTAAAAGTATAACAAATATACCTAAATTGTATACCTATTATTTTTTTTCTTTTTTAGGATAAAAAGAAAATGAACAAAAGATAATTGAGGGTTAATTAATTAAAGTTTTATTTTATTTAAATATTTTTTTTTCAGATTTTTCATAGTAATGTGTTTTTTTTTATAAGTTTTAAATTCAAAATTGKGTTTTTATTGAATATAAATACATTTTTAAAGTTTTTTAGGGCATTTTTTTAAGGCATTTTTCTTGTTTTTTAGAGCATTTAAATCCGTTCCCTACTTATAACAAATACAAGCGAAAAATATAGCTGTTAACAGCCATAAATTTTAACATAAAAAAGAACTGTACCTATCAACTAATTAAAATATCAAAATTTTTTAGCATTATTATAATTGTACCTATATSTACTGTAATTGTATCAATTATTGTTTTAAATTTTATTGTTTTTGACTTGTATTTTATGTTTTATATTATATTTTAATATGTAATTTAAATAAATAATTAAATATTATGAATTTTATATGATTTTTTCATGCAACTATAATGTATTTTTCATTGCAATTTTAACATATTTATACTGAAAGTTTATAGTGCAAATTTTTTCATATTTAGAAATATTGTAATTTAAGTACATATTTCTTAATTTATTAATTCAATACCACAATAATAACAATAAAGATGAATAATATTTTATTTATTATTATATTAAATTTTATTATTTTAGAATTTTAATTACCTAATTTACATTTTTTTTTTTTTTGAGCGAGACCTTTTTTATCTAGATTTTTTTTTCTACGATTCATTTAAATAGCTATAGAATTTTGTGGCCATATTTAAATAAAATTATATGCAAAACTTTCAATAGTGTTATTTTCTATAGTTTTTGAATAAATTAGAATCATTAMTAGGATAATTCAATTATGCTTTAGAAGTATTTTTTCCTTGTTGCTCGCGAGACAGAGAAAAAAACAAAAATTTGACACCCTATTKAAATAATAATAACACAATGATTATTGATTTGTAAATAAAAAATTATTATTATTATTACCAGGCCAGCAGACATATAAAAAGTTTTTGCTGCAGAATTAATAACATGATCAATGGCTTGCAATGAAAAGTTGAATGTCATGAACTCACAAATTGGTCTTAAGCCAGCCTAAAAACAAAATAATATGTTTGATGTCTTTAATCATCACGGATAAATTAATAAGGAACTTTCTACATACATTTTAGATATTTATATTTTTAAAAAATAATACTTATATTAAATGTATTACCATTGCTGATCCAACAGCAATTCCAGCAAATCCAATTTCAGTAATGGGGGTATCAATCACTCGTTTTTCACCATATTTTTTGTATAATCCCCTAGAAACTTTATAAGCACCATCATACATTGCGACTTCTTCACCTAAAATGAAAACTCTTTCATCGCGTTCCATTTCATCATCCATTGCTGAATTCAGTGCATCTCTAACAGTCATCTACACAAAGCAAATAATACAGGCAATACAGCAAACAGTAAAATCTATTTTAATTAGCTATGTTATACCCTTTTTACCTGTTTATTTGYCAACACTCGAGTTGTGGTTAACGATCTTTTGAGAATTTTGACAGTGGTCTGAAAAAGTTAAATAATTTTACAAAATATTCTGCTAGAGATAAAGATCATTGGCATGGATTAAATACTTAATAATAAATATTAATTATACTAAATGTGGCAGATTTTTTGACACAATAATTTTAAAATAAGGGATCAAAATTCAATCAACGACAGGTCAAAGGTGTTGTCCATCTGAAGTTATATATGAATCTAATCTATGAATCAAGTAGTATCAGGGTGAGACATAAGAGTGAAAAAACTTAGTTGTTACCATTAAGACTGAAGACTTGTGGAAAGAAATCGAGAACGCCATATTAAGTATTGCGGTTGCAAAAGTTTATTTTTTACAATAGTAACGCACAACAGGGTATAAACGAGTTGTGTTGGAGAAAAAAAATCGAAGCTTCACCTTGGCGGGCGACTCGAACGGATTCGTGAAGGGCAAGGGTTAAATTTTTTCTACTTTTCCTTATACGAATAACAAAAACATTAATCACAAATTCATAACTATCATAATGGAAAATAATAATAATATGATAAGAAGTTACCGCATACCAAGTAACAGTGTGATGTTAGCGGTATACTAGTTTTCGATACATTGAGGTTATGTTCGATTATTTATTTTTTTTTTATGCCTCTCCGTCATCGGACGTGGACCAATAAGAACAAGACAAGTGATTGGTGGCTGACCAATCACAAGAGCCCACATGTCTGTATAACTGTATATATATATGCAACGAAGGCACCAATTCGTCAGTTTTCCGGTGTTTCGTTACTCATTCTCTTTAGCGTTGTGGGCTTGTGGCACACTCWGTTAATAGTTTAATACTTATTATTACATCGGTCAAGCTACTTGTACTTCGTCATCGTCATCACACGTTCGTCAGTTTTTGGTTCGAAATACAATTTAACTTTTATTAAACCTTAAGTCGTAATTCAATTTGATTTGTGGACATTGTTTTGGTAAATATATTTTGTTTGTTGTTAAATACCTATAGGTATTCTTTGAGTAACAAAATATCTCAATAGTTAATATTGTTGTAAATAGTAATAATACTTAACCGTTTTTATTTCAGACTTCCAAATCTGGGTATGGACCACCGAAAGTCCATTTGTGCTTTTTGGGCACTGTTATTCTTAATCAGCCCTATTGCGTCAAAGGATGGATCAAAATCCAAAGATGAACTTGGTACTGTTATTGGAATTGATTTAGGCACAACTTATTCATGGTAATTATAACCTATTAATATTTTGTTTGCTTATGTTAAATAAAATTAATCTATTTATATAAATACAGTTTTGGTTTTCCTACTGCTTATGTTAACATTTTGTTGTTTGCTAATACCCAAATTAAACATTATGTGTTTTCAAACCATATGCTAGATCAATAAACAATTACTTATAATTAATAKAAATTATTATTTAATTATACCTAATTAATAATTTTAACTGCTTTCACAATAAATTAATTATATTTTTAAAAGTGAGCTAACTTTTATCAGAACTTCATTTTGAACACTTAACCTGACATAAATCTGTGACATCATCAAAAATATTGTACAGGTGGCATTAGGTAGGCAAACATWGAAAATTGGATTATTATTTTCTTTTTAAGATTTTTATGTTCACAATTATTATACATTTATATCTGAAATGAATTGGCTTAGTTAATATCTTACAATTTAAGTAATTGTTTATTAATAGGTTAAAATATAGTTAATATATTAATTATTCTTTATATTCTTTCATTGTATAAATATTATTGAATTTCTTAAAATTGTGAATACTTCTTTTCTATCATGATATGTTTCTGTTTTAATTTAGTAAATCTTTTCAACTTCAACTTTCATTTTTGTCTATAATATTGATTTTCTTTATATATCAATATTAAATTTGGAACAAATGCACTTTACCACCCCCCTCAAAATTTTCGATTTTTTTTTTGGAACATACTTATATTAACTATTTAAGAATGATGGTGCAATCAGAATTTGTAGGTCAAACTTAGTTTCAAAGTTATGGGATTTAGAAGTTGGCAATTTTGCATTTTTTACGCATACCTACCCATAACGCTATAATTAAAGTATAGAGAGCAAGTTTGAGTCTGACAAGTAACAAGTAAAGTCACTCCCTACGCCTCACGGCTCGGCCCCCAAACCCCCGAGAATGGAAATAGCTAACCTTGGGGAGGGAAGGTAACAAGTGAACTTAACTTTGTTAATTAAAGTAACCTATGTATATTTTAGTAGTTTTCTTCCCCTACCGGCTCCGGCCTACCTGGTGTATCCAAATAATCTCATTATAGTTAAAAGTATCTATTTTGTGTTCTWATTATGGTAAATCCAAAATTAACTTGATTGTGCTGTGCCCGAGCTTAGCCAATGCGATAGTTATTAACAACAGCAATCTAGACGCTAGGGGCTAAGCGTATAAGTAAGTTAATTAGATAAGTAGTTTTTACATATAACCATAAYTAAAAATCTGACTGCGACATAGTTTTTTACTCATTAATATATACGTAAGTTTTGAAAAAAAAAATCAAAAGAATCGTCCAAAGCCAATAACTTTGAAAGTAAGTCCGATCTACATGAACAATCGTTTTTAAATAGTTAATATAAGGATGTTCCAAAAAAACAATCGAACATTTTGTTGTGGGTGGGGGGGGGTGGTGGTAAATTGCATTTTAGCCTTAACTTTAATCTTTCATAATTTGATTGATAATTTTTTTTTAATTTTTAGTGTTGGAGTGTATAAAAATGGACGAGTGGAAATCATAGCCAATGACCAGGGTAACAGAATTACTCCATCATATGTTGCATTCACCAAAGAAGGAGAACGTCTAATTGGTGATGCAGCTAAAAATCAGCTAACTACAAATCCTGAGAATACAGTATTTGATGCTAAGCGATTAATTGGTCGTGATTGGTCTGACGTCAATGTTCAACACGATGTTAAATTCTTCCCTTTTAAAGTAATTGATTATATTTTTATAATTTTACCATAATTTTGTATTTATGTTTGGTTGTTGTTGTTTTTTAGGTGATTGAAAAAAATACTAAGCCTCACATTGAAGTTGAGACTATTGAAGGTACATCCAAAGTGTTTGCACCTGAAGAAATTTCTGCTATGGTATTAGCAAAGATGAAAGAAACTGCTGAAGCCTACTTAGGCAAAACTGTAACTCATGCTGTCGTTACTGTACCTGCTTATTTTAATGATGCTCAACGTCAAGCTACTAAAGATGCAGGAGCTATTGCTGGTCTTACAGTCATGAGAATCATAAATGAGCCAACAGCAGCAGCTATAGCATATGGCTTAGATAAAAGGGAAGGAGAAAAAAATGTTCTAGTATTCGATTTGGGCGGTGGTACATTTGATGTATCATTGTTGACAATTGATAATGGTGTTTTTGAAGTAGTGTCTACCAATGGAGATACTCATTTAGGCGGAGAAGATTTTGATCAAAGAGTTATGGATCATTTCATCAAGTTGTATAAAAAGAAGAAGGGTAAGGACATCAGAAAAGATAACAGAGCTGTTCAAAAGTTGAGACGTGAAGTTGAAAAAGCCAAGCGTGGTCTCTCTGCTAGTCATCAAGTGCGCATTGAAATTGAAAGTTTCTTTGAAGGAGATGAYTTCTCTGAAACTCTTACTCGTGCCAAATTTGAAGAACTTAACATGGATTTGTTTAGATCTACCATGAAACCAGTTCAAAAAGTCATGGAGGATGCTGATATGAATAAAAAGGACATTGATGAGATCGTATTGGTGGGTGGTAGTACTAGAATTCCTAAAGTGCAGCAACTGGTTAAAGAATATTTYAATGGAAAGGAACCATCGCGTGGTATTAACCCAGATGAAGCTGTAGCTTACGGTGCTGCTGTTCAAGCTGGTGTTTTATCGGGTGAACAAGATACAGATGCTATCATTCTTTTGGATGTAAATCCTTTAACTATGGGTATTGAAACTGTTGGTGGAGTTATGACTAAATTRATTCCACGTAATACAGTAATACCGACTAAGAAGAGTCAGATTTTCTCCACTGCTGCTGATAATCAAAACACTGTAACTATTCAAGTATTTGAAGGTGAACGACCAATGACCAAGGATAATCATCTTCTTGGAAAATTCGATCTCACTGGAATACCACCAGCACCTAGAGGAGTTCCACAAATTGAAGTTACATTTGAAATTGATGCTAATGGTATTCTCCAAGTTAGTGCAGAAGATAAAGGAACTGGTAACCGAGAAAAGATTGTGATTACCAATGATCAAAATAGATTAACTCCAGATGACATTGAACGTATGATCAAAGAAGCTGAGAAATTCGCTGATGATGACAAAAAATTAAAGGAACGTGTAGAATCTAGAAATGATCTAGAATCTTATGCATACTCATTAAAGAATCAAATTGGTGATAAAGAAAAATTAGGTGGCAAGGTAAGGATAATTTTTTATGATCTTTTTTTAATTTTTTTCTAATGTTCTATTTTTTTGTGTTTAGTTGTCGGATTCTGAAAAAACAAAAATGGAAGAAATTATTGATGCTAAGATCAAATGGTTGGATGAAAATCAAGATGCTGACCCTGAGCAATACAAACAACAAAAAACCGAATTGGAAAGCGTTGTTAACCCAATTATATCTAAATTATACGCTAGTACTGGTGGTGTTCCTCCTCCGCCAGCTGGAGATGCTGAAAAAGATGAACTTTAAAATGGAAATATTAATTAATTTATTTATTGTATATAAGACTGCTAAGGTTTTACTTCCTTTTGGATTATGTATGTTAAGCAGTTAGGTTAACAATTAGCTAATATATTTTTTTCTATGTAAGTAATTCATCATTTTATAAATGGTCGAGTTATTTGGTTTTTTGTACAATAAACATTAAAATCCATTTGATAACACCGTTAATTAAGCAGAATTAGTTTTATTATTGAAATTCTGTCAATAATGTGTACAAATTAATCAACTATATTAAAATGCATTAATTTGGAACAATAACTTAACATGTTACTCTGTTTAAAAATACTTAAAATGTATGATTGATTACCATGGTGAACTAATAATTTCTATTTGAGGTTTATTCTTAATATTATAATCTATATTTTTCTATAGTTAGATTTAGTCTTATTTATATCTGAGGTTTAACATTACTGCTGTCGCTGTTAATTTAAGTAAATAATAGCATATAAAGTTTTCACAATATTAGCTTGAGGTTGTATTCCTCATTCTTAATATCATGACTACTGTATCGTTATATAATTCAGATTTACTGAATTAAAGTGTCATAGTTTTCTCGTCATTTATGTGCAGCCACAATATATGAACAATTGATCGTGGGACGTCAAAAATGTCAAAAACGTCAAAACAGAAGCTTCTGGATCTCAAATATCAAAAGATTCAAAAATGAAGAGTTTGATGAAATCAATGATAATTGAACATGTGAAATATTGATATAAAWTTAAAATACCTTTTTA